GAAAGTCTCTTGGCAGAGCCTTTCTTCCACTGTGAGTACCAGCTAGACCACTGAGAATGGTCCGGTGACATAACAATAATAGTAGGTTCTTGTTCCTTGATGATCCTAAGAAGATTGGAGCGACCTTGCGGTTGCTCAAGATCTAGACCGCTACGCAAATCGACTGGCTGACCTACTCGCAGACCTGACAGGGCAGCCTTGTGACTCATGCGGGGAGATCCGCCGTAGAGTTCTAGGAAGTCAATCTTCCCAGTGCTGGTGACCTGCCAGTGACACTCTTGATGTGGAACCGTTAGGTCTGTCGACTGCAGGGAAGCATCGAAGGTGACCATGCAACTTGCGTGGTCAGAACCTTCTGACGTCAGAGTTTCCTCATCAGGCGCGAGAGGAATCTCCACATCAGATGTTATGTCATAATTTTTCCTCAGTTTTGAGATATTGACGCGGACGATGCGTGTTCCAAGATCCACACCTACCATGGATCCTCCGAGTTCGGAGATCACCTTTCCTTTTAGCCAAGATCCATGTTTGGACCCAGTGGATCCAATCTTAGACTTATCTTCTGACCAGTAGAAAACCTTATCTCCCAAAGAGAAAGGTCCTTGGGTCATTGACAGTCTGGCTGCAAGATCTCTACGCAGATCATCAGATTGGCGTGCTTCTTGGTAAGCCCTGTTGGCAAGCTCCTTAATGGCTTTCGCAGTGACTTCCGCATCAGTTGGATTACCTGTCAACTGATTGGGACCAGCGTTCTCTGGTGTTATAACATCTCGAGGACGCCTTCCAAAGGCCATTTCTAAAGGAGTAACTCCTCCGTAGGTAATCGAAGAGTTTCTTGCCAAACATGCTTGGCGAACGAGGTTGCCATACTTCATGGTGATTCCGTTATACTGCGGGTCACCATCCTTCAGGATCTGAAGTATGAGCTTAATCTGATGCTTCAGCAATCTTACAGCAGCTTCGGCCCTGTTGGGCCATGGTGTTCCAGGTCCTGTTGCCACAGGCTTGATATTCTGCCGATTGTAATAAGCCTCCATTTTTGGAGTCATGAATGCTTGATCTCCAACTACAACCTTTGGGTTGATCTGAAATTTCTCAAAGTAGTCATTCATAATCGACATTGTAGTATGTTCTTCTTTATCCTGGACTACTTCGGCAGTCAACAAGTTTGTTGCTCCATCATAGAGAATAAGAAATACTAAGCGACTATCCTTGCCGGGAATTGGAAGCTCACCGTGATCTACGAAGGTGAGATCACCGAAAGTCTCTGATCTTAAACCAGAAATCTTCGCTCTTGAAGGAGCTCTCACATGTTCCTGGCAGGCTGAACACTTTTTGACCAGTTGGTCATATAGCTCGTATATCTCCTTTGGGATCTGTAAGGCTTTTGTGCGTCGCTTGAACTGATCCGTACTCATATGACGGTGCTTGAGGTGAAGCTTATAGAGTTCTACAGGGTCCTTAAGCTTCTCATGAATCCTGCGAAGAGCAATGGGAAGAGATGGCGATGGTTCTGCGACAATCTCTTCACCTGTAGGTGAGTCTGTACCAGGAGCCGGGTATTCTCTTGACTCAAGTGGTCTTACCTCCGTCCCGTCATCAGCTCCTGGGACCTTAGACTTCTCTTCAACAGGAGATTTAACCGCATATTTGCGGGATTTCTTCAGAAGGTTTTTAAGACCCTTTGGAGTCTTTATCTTCGCAGGTGGAACCTCAAGTCTTTCTTCTTCTGGAGGTTCATGTGATGCAGAGGATTCTGCAGGTTTGTCCCTAGAGCCTGATGATGGTTCCGATGGTCCGGAAGGCTCAGGAACATCACCAGATGATTCTGGTGGATCAAGTTTCTTGGCAGATGATTCTGCCGGATCAGATGGAAGAGGCTTCTTTTTGCCTGAAATCCTCTTCGGTGGTGGATCAGCTGCTCCCTCAGGTGCTTTGTCGCAACCCTTGAGTACGTGTGAGCCCTTTTCTGTCCGGCACAGGCTGGACAGCGACCTTCCGGTATCCTAGTATAAGGCTTCTTGGCTCCTAGAGCAGTCTCCGTCGCACTGAACGACGTACCTGACTTAGGGAGATACTTCCTGGTGGAAGTGAAGCCTAGAAGGTACAATACCAAATGGTTATTGGTACTAATCGGAAGAGGGGTTTTATACAAACCGAAAGCTTCACACGTTGCTAGGTCAGCTGTGGGACTACACTCGAGGGTCATTCTTAAATTCCTCATCTGTTCGATGGAAAACAAAATGGGAACTCTCCCCTGATCCAAACTTCTATGGTTGTATCTCTTCTTGGAGTTGTGTTGAACCATAGAGTTACACGCTCCTTGATAAGAGCTGTTTCACTATCTGCGAAAGAGAACTTCGTGTTCGAAGGTGAGAAAGTGAAATCAATCATGCCTGGGGCACGTTGCTTCACGGCCTTGATAAGCCTGTTCACCGCATAGCGGGAACCCATAGCCCTAGTACAACCTGAGTCAAGTATGACAAAGGTAGGGCTCTTATCAAGATTGATCCGCTCTGTGAGAGCAGATAGGACGGTGTGCTGCAACGGAAACACCGCTGTTGCAGTCTCCACACCTTGCCCCTCGGATGGTTCAAAGACCTGGGGCACGTAACTCACTGATGAGTTGTACACGGGTTCTTGGTGCGCGCTCGGATCTGTGCCTCTACCTGATGATCCTGCTTGATTTCTTCTCTTCTTTCTCCGTGTCTTTCTTCGTGAGGCTTGTGATGCATAGTATGTATAAGACGTTTGATCGTCATAAGCGGCATAATTCCAACTGGAGTCAGTATAATAACTGTCCTCATACCATGAATCCCAGCTCGGTGCGGTGGAACTTTCATAGGCCTGTGGAGATCCAGTTTGGTCTCCTTGTAAGGAGGCAGACTTAGCTGTATCCTTACCTTTGCCTTTTGCCTTTGTACCTTTGAAGGAGCTTCCTTTATCTCCTTTGTCCTTTCCTTTTCCTTTGCCTTTTCCACCTTTTCCTTTTTCCTTTCCTTTACCTTTACCGAAATAGCTGGAATCAGTTGGATCATGTTCTGCCTGGTTGGCTCTCCCTTTTCCGCGGTATGACCTAAAACGGCCACGTCCTTTTCGCTTGCCACCCTTTGCTCTTCCCGGTGATCCGGGACGCATTCTTGGTCTTCTTCCCTTTTTGAATCTCCTTGCAACGAAGGCCTCATGGTCGTCAACTGTCCAGAAGACAGCTTCTTCATCCTCGGCGGCAAGAAAGCCTTCCTCAAGGGTGTCTTCGTCTTGGAGCCAGAATCCATCGACTCCGTCGTATTCACCCTGATCGAGGATGAGGAAGTTTCGACCTCCGCGTTTGCGGCGTTGATCTCTCCTTCCATGGCGGTCCTTCTTGTGAGAAGTGTGCCGAATATTGGGATCCTGCAGACCAGTTCTGGTCGTTGAGAACTGATCGAACATGGTCTGCCGTACTATAGGGTACGTGTAGGTCTCAATTCGGTAACCTTGGTTGGTCAATGCTGTTACCAACCTCTCACGTTGCATCTCATTTAGGTCGGACTGCACTAGGAAGAGGAGAGCTAGGAGATTATCATTTAGAGGAAACGCTCTTCGATGATTATCAAGGCGTTCCTTGTTCCATGTTTCGAAGAAACGTGCGGCGTATGTGTCTCTCTCGGTTGCATCCTGTAGGCGCAAGAAGGTTTGATCTGCCTGCACAGCCTGCATGAAATCTGGATGGGCATCTTCCAGAGCTATCTCTGGTAAGAGATCCATCCATGAGTTTTTCACGCGCTGTAGCACGATCTCAAACTTAGCAATCCAAGTCACAAAGTCTTGGTTGCCCTTCCATGCCTTGAATAGGCCGAGGAAACGCCACAGGAAAACGTACTGTTCTCCTTTCACGAAAAATGGACGCATCTTCTTCTTGAAGTAATCTACTCCATCTGGGGCTGCAAGCCTTTCTCGGTTCAGTGATTCCTTTTGTACTGCGGCCAATCCGGAGAGCCTCGTCTTGAGAGACGGACCTCTTTTGGTGTCATCCAGCGTTGTTATGTCGCACCAGTCGTCAATCAACTGTTCATACTCAAACCACGAGGTGGTGCCATCATAGGCAGGCGCGATCTTGGGCGTTATGCCTAATGATGCAAGCATGCGGTCAGATGTTGCATATGACTGTGCGACATAAGTGGCTGGACCTTGGGAGGTCTCTTCGTTCTCATATCCCCCGGAGGATTGGGAACTGCCGTCGGCTTCGCTATGCGAGCTCGACATTGTGCTGCCTCTTATCCGCTTGGTTAAGCGTTCGGCGAGGCCGACCGCTGTAGCGGACTTTGTGAGGCGGGCGGCCCTTTCCGGGCTCCGCTACCAGAAAACTGTGCCGATACACCCCCAAGGGATACTCCTTGTGAGGAGGTGTATGACCAGTTATTCCCTAAGGATCAAAGGGCAGCGCCCTGCACACGGACAGTAGTTGTTTTGTCTTGCTACGCAAGGAGAGCTTGTCTTGTCTCAATATGGTAAAACCACTGTGAGCCAATGGGCAGCGGAATGTATATGTATGAGCATGCAGCCATTGCTGTAGGTACCTGTTAGAGCTACCCCTTTAGAGGTTTATGGTTTTTACAACCCCCAACCCCCACCCCCACCCCCACCCCCACCCCCCCCCCCACACCCCACCCCCACCCCCACCCCCCCAACCCCACCCCACCCCCCCACCACCCCCCCCACCCCCCACCCCCACCCCCACCCCCACCCCCACCCCCACCCCCACCACCAAACCCACACCCACACCCCACCCACACCCACACCCACACCCACACCCACACCCACACCCATGCGCACGCGCACGCGCACGCGCACGCGCACGCGCACGCGCACGCGCACGCGCACGCGCACGTGCACACGCACGCACGCACACACGCACACACGCACACATGCACACACGCACACACGCACACACGGACATGATTCACTTAATGTGCTTGTTGAGGCACTGCTAGCGTATAGCGGTGACTCAGATCTCTCAGGATGTCGAGCTGGCCACGGAGTACTCCACGTCCTCCAGCCTGGAGAACCAGCTTTCGCAGGTGGCGAAGCTCATTCGCGTCCACGAGGTGCGGAAGGCAGAGCGGGACTTCTTCTTCGTCCGGCCCCGCGGTGGCAGCGGCAGTCGCTTTGCGCTTTCTTGCCGCTGTGCTGCGACCGCTCCGCTGTGCTGCGAGGATCGGCGGCTGGGACATGCATTCGAACCTGCTGTCTGGCCTGACCTCGAGGCTCCAAAGGAATCTCTCGGACTTTCGACTTGCCTTGGGGACTCCCCTGCCCGTGCCTGCGCAGGTTCGGCGAGATCAACCGGGCTCTGCGGGGCTTCGTTGCAGAGATGAAGGCGCAAAACATGTGGGACAACGTGGTGCTGGCTAGCTCCTCGGAATTTGCACGCACGCTGGACTCCAACGGGGGCGGCAGCGACCATGCCTGGGCCGGCCAGCAGTTTATTCTCGGAGGGAAAGTCAAGGGTGGGCAGATTCTGAACCAGTTCCCCTCCAGCTTAAAGGAAGGGGCCTACAACGACCTCGGGCGTGGTCGCCTGATTCCAGCCTATCCATGGGAGGCGATGCTGAAGCCTATTGCAGAGTGGATGGGCCTTGACACGAGCTCCCAGGAGACGTTGGATGCAGTGTTCCCGAACATCGGGCGCTTCAACTCATCCATCGTGCCGGGGGAAGCCTACATCTTTCAGCCATGAGCTAACAGTTGAACCTGTTGAGGCGGCACACCCAGCCGCCACTATCGTAGTTTTGGTAATTAACTCCCTTGCTGCAGCGGCACCTAGGAAGTAGGAGCAGGCTCCAAAGAGGGGCTTATCCTGCACATGGTCCGCAGGGCTGTGTGCTCTGTGCTGCTGCGGCCACCACGGGACATGTGCAGCCCTACAGAATTCAGAGCCATACTTTAATTTCTACGAGCTAGGCTGACAACTGCCTTTAGTTTTTCTTGGGAGTGCACTACTGTTTTTTGGTCTTCGGCTTGCGTACATGTATGGCTGTACCCTGTATAGGCTGTCGGTTGGAATGAAGCATGCCCTCTGCTGCAGAGGACTTGCGCAAAGTGCATTGCAGCCGGCAGAATTTTGTCTAGCTGTAGCGAATCCGTCCAACTCCTGGTCTAGATTTCCAGTCCGCCTGAACCTGCTGGTTGGAGCACAAGGCCCGCGGCAGGGGATCGGCAGAGTGGCTGACTGGTGTGGACAGCAGTGCCTTCCTGGTCAGATCCAGCCAAGGAGCAAGGACAGTGCCCCCTGTAGTGACTATATACTGTCGCATAAACAGGATCGGCAGCACTTGAAGGCTTGACGGTTGTCTCCACTTTTTCTCCTTTCCGACGGGCCCCAAGCCCTAAACATCCTCAGCTAAGCTCCTCCTCCCACTCCGAGAAGGTGCTTCCCTTGGGCGTGGACTTCGGCGATGGGCTACCTCCGGAGGACGGGTCGGGGTTGGTCCTTCTTACAAAGGGATCACCACAGTGGTGTGTAGGGCCGGGGTACTTTACTGGGACTGTGTTGGGGCAACTGTCGCAGGTTTATTCTTCTGGAGTTGACATTGGGCATCGGTCCAGGGTTGCTCCGAGCGCAGGACGTCTGGGCCAGTAATCCAGTGCGGTGTTCGTCCATTTCATTGAAACCCGCGACCCTCGAGGCACTCGCACAAGCTGTTGCAGAGAGCAGGTTTGGATTTTTTTCGGTTAGAAGGCGCTCGACTGTAGCTACTGTAGGATCTGACATCTCTTGCAAAACGTCGCTGTGAGATGTTAGGAAAAACGGCTGTCAACGAGTAATGTGTTGTGCGGCGGTGTCGTGCAGATGAAATTTGCTTTGCGAGCCCGTCCCTCCCCGAGAGGCTGTGGCAGTTTGTCCTGCCGGTGATGCTGGTGTCAAGGTGTCAGTGGCAAGGAGAGGAGGTGGGATGTGCACAATCTATGTCAATCGCGCATCCGAGCCCTAAGCCATCGAAAACCCGAAACCTTAAGCCCAAACACCTAACCCTGCAATGCGGGCTCCTCCTCTTTGCTAGGCCTAGGCGGGAGGCAGAAAGCCCAAATGCCGAACTTGCTTGTGCATAGTTCGCACGCAAGCTTTGGACGAGGAGATGATCGCCGCGGAGGGCCTGGTTTGGGCGACAGGTGCTTTTCCGACGGCTGCCTTGTGCGAGCCGTAGGGTACGACAAACCCACGTCCGCGGTCCTCTGTCGAGGACGTGCAGCTTTGGGCTAAGATGCAGCAGTGCAACCGTCGGGGTCGTTCTGTTCGAGAGTCCGCAAGCTTGTGTTTCTGTTCCCGCGGCTGTTCGCATGTTCGAGCGAGTGCTCATCTCTGAGCGCGACTGCTCCCTTCGCGCTTGATCGCTGACGAGCAGCCTTCACGTGTTCGCGAGGGTGCTGCTTCTTCGCGGATTACCACGGCTGTTTGGGTTTCGGTTTGCGACTTCGCACGGCCATGTTCATGTAATCGCACGGCAAATCGTGTGTTCGCGTTGTTCTTCTAATCTCACGAAAGCAAACAGGCACAGTCACAACACTTTCAGCTGGCACAGACTTCTGGCAATGGTTTCGCCTCTTTCGGGGCTTGTTCAACCTGCCTGATGCGGCAAAGCTGCGGCAATGCAAGGTAGTGTTTGGGACAACACCGACGTGTCTACATGTGTTTGTACTGAGCTGCTGTACTTGATGACTGCCAACATCTTGCGAGCTGTCTTGGTCGCCTCGTTGCTCAGGATTGCTTCTGTATGTCACTCTGGGTTTTGTTGGAGAGAATGGCCATGTCTTGCCATCGAACATGTGAAGTAACTCCCAATGTTCTTGTACACTTGTACGTCTTTGAGCTTCCTGTTGGTGCGCCAAATCCGAACGGTTTCTCCACTGATGAGGCTGAGAATAGCGGTTGCAGGGTGAGCAACTAGTGTTCAGAAGCTTCTGGTATGTTTCCCACGACATGCTTCCACGTTGGTACGACGGCTGAATGTCGAGGAGTTCGATGGAACCCTCGCCCAAGTCACCACGACCTCGATGGCTGGAGATTTCTCGCACCAAATCATAGCGTCATGAGTGTTGAACTCTTCGTATCCCGTCACACTGAAGAGTTGTCTACAACACATTCCAAGAACCCTATGCATCATGTGTTGATAGGCTATGGTTCACATAAAGACGTTGTTGGGACATGCTCCCGTGGCAAAGCTGTTGTAAAACATTTTTGGCGATGTTGCATGAGCTGGTTTCACATAATGAGCATAACACAAGTCGCGAGGTCCGTGTGGCCGTAGTGGTTGAGAACACCCCATGAAAGCATCAACAGCATGTGGTCTGTATCACTGCTTGGGCCGACATCGCGATCTCATAACCCGATGGAACCACACATGGCATGGATTCCAATAGCTCGCAGCTGCGTAAACCAGCTCCTGGATTGGAGCTAGCAGCTAGCATCTTCCACAGAATGAGGCTGTTCGGTGTAAGCCAATTTGGACATGTTCGACAACAGTTCTTCTGTGCAGCTTTATCCTCCACACGATCCCCCCGTGGCAGAGAATGGAGCGACTTTGATAAATGCGGCCGGTGTCGTGCAGATCACATTGCGTGCCTCCGCTTGGCTCCCAGTTCCGTCGATGCAGAACCTTGCCAGGAAAAATTGTTGCTGACATTGATGGTGTGTCAACTTCTTGAAGCGGGGTATATTGATCGCTCCATGTACGAAGCACAATTGCGTCTCGCACAGGCGTTTATCGCGGTCCTCAATCACGATGTCGTCCTTGTGTGATTTTATCCACTTGACGGCTTTGTCGTCGATCCAGATGAGATTCACTGGAATCGGCTTGTCGAAGAAAGTCGGATGATGTCTTGGCGGAGCATGAAACAATTTGTTGAGGCCCCTGGTGGGCAGTGGTACAAGGCTTCGGCACCGCGCGCGTCCATGCCAGTTGCCTTCAGCGTAATGGTTGAGATCTCACATTCCTCTGCGATTTTGTGCACGCTTTGGCAATCATTCCCACGTCTTCTTTGTTGTGCAGTACAGAGGTTGGAGCCGTGAAACTCGGCTTCCGATCAACAGGTCTGACGCTTCGAGCACCTGAGAGACAGAGAGAGAGAGAGAGAGAGAGAGAGAGAGAACGCCCTGCCGAAAGCCCCATAACACATGGGGGGCCCATGCGGCCGGGGGCTTCGCACGCTCCCCAAGCCCTGATGAAGAATTGAGACAGAGAGAGAGTTCCAGTAGCTCCTATCCCCTTTGCCACATCAGAGGGGGCGTGCGGCAATGTTAGTCACCGCGGAAATGGAACTTCTTTATGCCTGTTGGTTGTTTGCCGCTTACCCTTGCCCTTGCCTTGGCCTTTCTTGGCCTTTGCCGCGACCAGACTCTTCCCATCTTGATGTCTCGATGTGGAGCATGAAGATGCTTTTGAGGTTCCGGATCTTAAAGTGATTCTGAAGATCGGGTTTTTGCGAATGTTAATTGCCAGTTCACTGTGTTTGCAAAGGGTCAGATGTTTTGCAATGGTGCCATCGTTGCTGGTGACTTGCTTTGCATGCCTGTCCAGCTCCATCAAAGCATTAAGCTTCTGTGGTCCATGTTCTTGAACTTAGTTTCGGCTCAAGGCTGTTGCTCGCTTGCTTCTCACTTCTTCTGCTTGTGGGATGCGCCTTCGAGTCTTCAGCATCTCTTCCTCGACCGTCATTTCAACGGACTGGGTGCAGTTGTTCGGAGACTCTTGTGCTGCACCCTGGACAAGGTCTGAGTTACGGCATGGTCGAACCCTGATGTCCAAAGACCTTCGAGCTTTTGAAGAACAGTTTCCTTGCATCTTCTGTGTGAACATCTCGAGAGCTTTCTTCTCGGGATCAGAGATGAAAGCCTGGCATTCCTTAGCGTGCTTCTGTCGAAGTTTCTACCATGCAAGATGTAGTTCGCACGTCTAGTGTGGACGATGTTTCGGTGCCTCTGACGTTTTGCCTCTTTCTGGAGCTTCTTGAATTCGCCTCCTTGGGACCTGATCTTGGCATGTTTGCTTCGTAGCTCCCTTTGGGTATAGAAGTACTATTCAATTCCTTGAAAATTGCTTTTTCATTAGTGCATCACATGTCGAAGTTCTGCGTCCAAGCTGTCGAGGTTTACCTGCGAGTCGTGGAAAGCTTGCTGTTGTCCTGGGTTGTGGCGGCTTGTCTCTCCAACATTTTCGGTCGAGCTTGTAGCAGAGCGACTTGTTGAGCAAGCATTTCCTAAACAGAAGTTGTAAGATTTGGTGTGTCGGCCCCTGGAGTACGGGGCTCTCTTCGCGGCCTGTCAGCTGCTGTGTACTCTGTCCTTTGTGTCGATCTGGTTCTCAACGGAGCCCTTTTTCGATTTGCATAGTGCCTTTTCTTCAGTGGCAAGACAGCTTGCGGTTGGTCGGACGCGCTCGCATTGTGACTTCGCAAATGTTATTCGCGATTTTGGACTGCTGCCATCTGCGGTGCAGGAGCTCCTTTCAGTTGGTTTGGCGGATGTAGAGCTGGGGACAAGGGTCCGCTGAGTCGGTCTGGTTCCAGCTATGTGGCATTTTACTTAGACGCATGCTGCCGGGTGGTGACTCGACTCTACCCTCATCCGCAAGGCTAGGGCGGCTATTCGCGCCTTCGTGCGCCAGTTCGTGCGTTTGCGAGGCTGCGTGTGTGGCTGTTCATGTGTTCGCGTCGCTGTTTGTATTTTCGTGCTGTTTGTTCGCCTGTTCGTGCAGCAGCGGAACCATGCAATCACAGCATTCAGAAAATTTAGAAGTGCATCTCCCACGGGCTTGTTGCGAGGCTATCGTCTGACGGCGTTCCCTCAAAGTTCGTCGCTCTCAAGTGCGAACAAGATCGCTTGGTGATTGCGGGGGAATGGCTGGACGACGACGATTCTCCTTGCCGCGTCCATGCCGGGATGCCGGTACGGCTCTATCTGCCTCCCGAGCCTGCGGACAATGCCGTGCAACGGAGGGCGGCTGCAGAGGCGGCAACAGAGCTCACTTGGAGCGTTTGTTCCCTCTTCGGCTTTTCGCTGTCGTGCCAGCGCCGCATTGGTTGATGCATGAGCTTGGGGTCTTCAAGTGTGCTTTGGTTATCTCCAGGGTGATTGCCTGTCACGTGCATGACGGTGGAATGATCACTTGGCGTACTTGTTGGGCGCAGTTGTAGGTTTTGGGCAAACCCATCTGGATCTTTTTTGGTGGCGTTGCTGCAACTGCAAGCTTGGCAACACTGCCGGAGAATCAACTCAGACCGCACACGGGTTTGTGCACCAGCACGGTGATGGCCTACTGGGGAGAGGAGCGGCGTGAGTTGATATCAGAACCGCTTTGGGCAGAATACCAGCTTGTGCTGACATGCTTGACTTGTGTTTGGAAGTATCTGGCAGCTAGGACAAAGATCGTGCTGCTGTTGTTGTGCTGATATCGTGAGCGGGATTGCACTTCCTTGCCTCCGGGCTGGGACGAGCAAGCCCAATCGCAGCATGAGGAGTCTTGGTATCTTCGCCTGCCCTGCTTCCTCCTCTTGAAGCTGCGCATGCGAGGATTTCAGGAGGCTGGGGTTTGCTGATTCGTTTGCTTCTTCTTTTTGCTCAAAGATGCCTTGTGGTCAGGTCGAAGGATTGAATGCCCGTGGGTGGGTGGGCGGGCGCGTGCCCGCAGTCCTGACATCGTGTCGCTCCCAACTCCGGCCATGCAGTGACTTTGACCTGTGTCCTGCTTAGCACCCGAGGTTGTGTCCGCTTCTAGTGCTTTTCGCCCTCATCATTATGATGATATGGGCGTCCGCTCGATTGCATCTAACACAAATTGCTACTCGTAGTCGCAAGCGCAGTAGCATCGCTCAGCCGCATGCAAGGGTCGTTGCACTACACAAGCCAACCACGAAGGCATCAAGCCAGGCGTGGGTGCATTGAGCGAGTGAATGAGTGCGGGGGTCGGTGCAGTCTTGCTGGGCATGGCCATGGACGTGTATGAACTCGTGGTTGGTCTTGCGGGCGATGCGCTTGCATGCCTGTGCGCAAGGCCCGCCAGCAGTCTGCTTTCTTGGCAGCTGTGGGCCCAGAACATTTCTTCTGGCAGATTGAAGTCGGCATGCTGCCACTGAGTTCAGGTTGCCGTTGTTGCAGGCGCATTTGCTGGGGCCCGAGCTTTCGGGTAATTGGCCCAAGATTGTATGCGCCGCATCGCTGACCGCTGGAGGTCGGGCGAATGCCATGACCATGCAGCAACGATGCAAACTGAGCAAGGTGACTCTGCACATGAGAAAGGCATAGACAAAGCTGTCTCGCACATGCGGGGGGGATATGGTATGAGTGAGAAAGTTCCAAAGTTCCCAAACATTCGTGTCAGATGGTGCGCCTGCCGTTTGAGGTTGTGCGAGAAAGATGCCTTCTATCGGGGTACAGGGTTGGTGTTGGAAGGTTTCACGGGGCTTGGATGGGTTTGTCAAACTAATCTGTACCTTCAAGATGCCACGCTGTTACCGCCCTGGGAAGCTTGTGGTTGTAATCACAAGCATACCTGATGCGGTCGGCCACGGCACTTTAGCGCACGATGGTTGCAGTGGGAAACCTCTTCGGCGTGCACCTTGCCATTCGCCACGGCCCCTGACTTATATGTCCACGTTGGTGTTTCTGCAGCCGCGCAAGGAAACCTCAATGTAGACTCAAACTTGCGACACGCATCATTTTCGATGAAGTGTTCTACAAACTATAGACTCTTAGACCTTTGCAACTGCTGCACCGTTTGCCAATGTGGGTTTTAATTCAGTTTCCATGGCAGCCTTTACCAACGTGCGCCTGGCAACAAATGACCTGGTCCCGGGTTTGTCTTTGTGCGCATTTGCTCTTTGGTGGCGGTGGACTGGTGGAAGCTACGATCCTTCGAATACATTCGGAACCATTATGCACGTGCAGGCATGAGGCTCAAGTGTTTCGGCACAGCGCGTGCACTCGAGCCCAAATGGTTTCCTTGAGGTTTGACTTTCTTACTGTCAACCCTGCTGAGGTCAACAGACAAGACAGAGTGTCGACCTTCACGATTGCTAGAATCTGCTAGAAACCTTCGTCAAAGAGAGCGGTTCTTCGTTGACGTTGACATCCTTGTCCACTATCTATCCCGACTCTCACGGGCCTCACGGGCTGCAGATTCCAGCATGCTGCAGCGTTGCCGTTTGCCCCAATAGTGGCGTGCAGCAAGTCAGAATATCAAGGCACCGGATTCCGAGCATCTTGTGGTCGTCACCCCAGACCATCCACATGTTGCCTGGCGCGTGGAGCTTCGACAACTGCTGCCCCATCCGTAAGGTCGGCCCAAAGCGGACTAAAGGCTTTGATGAGCCTGTGGCGTTGCGGGCTCGGGCGCCCTGGTCGTTGCCAGGCACGGTTCTGACGGGAACTGCAATGTTCTATGCCCTTGACGAGTGGAATCTCTTTCCAGGCCACTCCTATCTACATCAGCGGCTAGGAGATCTACTTGACCCTGGTGACATGTGGACACGGTCCCCCATGACAATTTTCCCGCAACAACCTGCCATTGCATATGATCGCTCATAAGCCCAGCTGGCAACGGCCGCAGACTTTGGTCCAAGAGGGTTCAGTCGCCTCAAGTCTCGATGAGCAGTCTGAACCAGCTAATCTTGCTGGAATGTAGCTGCAAGTTGCGTAGCGTATCGGCCCGCATCGCCCGAGACGAGATAGGTAAGTGCCTTGGTTTTGAAGTCCGCCATGGTGTCTGGTGAAGAGACCATCCAGAAGCGGAGCACACAGCAGCCACTGCGTCTCTTCTGCGGATGGCCTCTTGGACTGCAGAGTAGATCCCGCATCGAATAATGATTTGCCGGTGAGTCGTGGTGGTGATCAAGTACAGTACGTGTATTGCACATCAGCCGGCACAAGCAATCCACTGGCGTGGCCGGCGTCCACAGTCCTGTGTTGAGCAGCTGGCATGTAAGTTTGACAAGCAAGTCAAGGGTGTAAGGAAGCAGATGGGTCGGATGGAGAGTGCTGTACAGTTATTTGAGATTCCAGATCCGATGTCCCTCGTCAGGTTTTGTCCTTTCGCACAGCGCGCATGGATAGCTCTGGAGGAAAAGGGCGCAGTCTATGAATATGTGGCCATTGAGCCGTATCAGGAGGATGCAAGCAAGCCAGGGGGGTCTTGCAGCCATGCTTGAATGCAAGAGAAGCCGATGTAGCACACCATGGCACATACCTGTCGGAATATGCCGCATGCCAGGTACTCCAAAAATCCTCTGCCTCTGGAGGAGAAGAGGAGGCGGTATCCGGAGTTCATGGCCTCGAGCCCTAAAGGTCTGCTTCCCGCAATCGAGAACACCCAAGCAGACGGTTCTGTTCATCGAATCTACGAGTCGATGGTCCCTCGTCTTTTTCTTACCTCTTCTGAGCGGTTTCCCTGATGTACCATCCTCGTCATTGGAGTGGGCCGAGGTTTGTGTTGAGTACGTTGAAGAAGCCTTCGATGGACCTTCGCTGATGCCTGGCCGATCACGTCCCGATGCTCGGGCCAAAGTGCGCATCTGGTGTGCCTACATCGGCGAGCATCCCGGCAATGAAGTCAAGGTGCCAACGTTTTCGTGCCCATGTATTTCTCCTCCGGTCACCGTCGTAGATGCGATCTCATTGGGCTTTAGCTATGGGGCTACAACAGTTCGTGATGTGCTTCTGTTCCCAGCAGAGTAGGTGCATGCATGCATCAGGAAGATCATTCCTCATTTCTACCGGTTGCTCATGCGCGAGACTGCCGACGAACGGGAAGTCGAAAAGAAGAGCTTGCTGGATGGCCTTCTGTGCCTAGCCCAAGCAATGGATCCTGTTTCAGCAGATGGCGGAGCCTTCTTTCTAGGTGATGAGTTCACGATGGTCGACATTGCCCTTTGCCCTTGGTGGACCAGGTTCCGCAGCATTGCAGGCACGTACCGTGGATTCGAGGTGCCGCGGGGTGCCACCTGGGACCGCCTTCATGCTTGGGGCGATGCTTGCGAAAAGCGTCCCTCAGTGGCTAGAACTATCGTGGATCAAGGCCGTCTCATTGCCAACTACACCGGCTATGCCGACTCTTCTGCGACATCCACCGTCGCACAGACTCTGGCGGCAAAGACCACCTAAGAAGGTCTCTGATCGGAAGATTCTGCTCGCTTATCTGTAAAACACATGCAGTCCGCAGAACTGCATAAGAGTCTTCATGTACCATGAAGTTTCATGGCGTTTGTTTTCTTTGCAGGGCAACCCAAGATCGCTTGCGGGCAAACCTTCCTGCTGGGATGTCTCTTCAGTGCTGCCGGGTCGGAGTTTCGGCTGATGTTTCGATCAGTCCGGAAAGTAGTCAGATAGGTCATGACGGGTATCCTAGCAGGTCCTAGCAGATTACTTCTAGAGGTATTCTTCAATCAAGCAAGATACTGTTGTCTCGAGTGTGCAGAGAAATTCCCCAAGCCGTGACGAAGGTTATCAATTGATATTCCCGCCGCGGAGCTGCACATCTTTTTGGCATGCCACTTTTCCTTCCGCTAAATTTTCAACATTGTCCGTCTTCCCAAATCGTGCACAAGCCATAGTCAGCGGCAGTAGTTTGGTGGGCAATCTGTGCCCATGTGGACTTTCGAGCAATTCATTCAGTATCAGTAGCCACGCTTAATCACTTGCGGTAGCAGGATCAAGTCATCATAATCTGAATCGGGCAGTTTCATGACCACTCCCTAGCATCAAGACACTCTGCCATACTTGGAAGGGAATCCAGGCCTTATCAACTGTAAGCCTAGAAGGTCCATAGCCGCACCCGAAGTTTCATCGACCATAGACCCCAGCCCGATCAGCCTTAACTTCAAAGTGAAACTATGCCTCTTCAAGCCGCGAGCCTGGTGTCTCAGCGATGATGCCACCCGCGTCGCCTGCAGAGGCACAGACCGTGCGATCGACGTCTAAGGCGTCGAAGCCGTCAAAGCAACTGAAGACTCAGCTGGAGCCTGACCTCCTCCGCGCAGTGCCACTTGACCGAGCCCTCGCCGGCTGGGGCAGGCACTGGGAGACCCCCGACAGTGGTATGTTTAATGTGGATCCAAAGAACTACAAGCTGAGCCAGCCCAGTGAATCCTTGGACGTGTTCCTCAGCCATGACTGGGCTTCGAGCGGAAAACAAAAGTTCTTGTCGCTTCTCATTGTTTACAACTCACGCGCTGCTTTTCTGGCATGCCTTGCGGTCAGCGTCCTTGTGGGCATGCTGCGTGGTTACAATTTGCTGCCGGATGAGGGCTGGACCGTGGTGATTGGTCATGGCACCTATCTGTTGGTTTTCCTCTTCTGGCAGCGCTTGCGGACGCTCGTTTGCGGACCTTTGATGGTATTCCTGGACAAGCTCTGTGTAGCTCAGCATGACGAAGAATTGAAGAAGAAAGGCATCGAAGGGATCGCAGCCTTTCTTCTGAGCTCCCGACAGCTCTTGATTTTTGTGACGCCGCGGTACTTCCGGCGTCTTTGGTGCTTGCTAGAAGTGGCCACATTCATGAAAGATCCGGAGCGGCAGAGGAGCATCCATTTCATGCCCTTAAAGACAGCAGTTCTATTTCTGCTGGCTTCCGGATGTTGGTTTATTTTGGCCATCGGCTGGAACGTGTCTTCCGGAGTTGTCAGACCCAGTGTCCTGGGATCTGCAGAATCTACGGAGGCGTGGAGCCAAACGCTGATTTTGACCGGGCTGATGCTCCTCCTTTCCGGTGCTGTGCTACCCTTTGTCTTCTACTTGGGCATGGCTCTCGTTGCGGATTTGGAGAAAATTCCTCGTCAATTGGCAAACTTCCGATTGGACGACGCGGAGTGCTTCTGCTGCTCCAATGAGCATCGGCACCCGCACAACGGATCTCGGCTGCAATGCGACCGGAAGCTGGTTTACAACACCTTGAAGCAGTGGTACGATGAGGAAAGCGAGGCTGATCATCTGGAGACATTCAGCAGGCTTGTTCGTGAGGAGTTAGCCCCCAGCATCGCACTGCTCATTAGTGGTATGACATTGCCTCTTTCCTATACCGTGTTCACTGTCGGTGCGAGCAATCTGCCTTACCTCGCAGACCATATCGCGCTGTGGATTGCCAGTGTTCGCAAAGGCACCTCCGGCTATATTCTTTTCGTCTTCACGTTACGGCAAGTCGCCGACTGGAGCACGGTGCCGTTGGCCAGCATGTTGGCTGTCTGGATCTCCCCTCCTCTGTGGAAGGCAGGCCTCCGCCTGCGAAGCCGTTGGTGCGCCACCATAGTGACGCAATCCATTGCTGTTTTTTTAGTGGCCATGGTTTGGATTCCCATGCAAGTCGTCCTAGGCTTGACCCAGCACGATGACTTGCGTCCTGTGACGCTGTTCCTCTTTTGGCTGGCAGTGCTCCTGGCACTCCATTCCCCATTGGGCAGAGAAGGGTTGGCCTGGGCTGTGAGCGAGAAGCCCTGGACGCTCGCGAAGGAAAAGGAGGATTCTGCTCTGGATGACAGCGTTCCCTGGGGAAAGCCAGCGGCAAAGAGCGCGGAATGCGCCGGCACGGGTCGAGAAGTGGCCGCACAAGGAACTCTGGCAGTCGCGGGCACTTTCTCCGTTTGACCCACATCTCGCCTGTCAGGGCTATAGGCGGACACAGCAGTGAGGAGATTGCAGTGAGTACAATGTGGCTGCCTCTGCTCTGCAACATGCTCTGACTGTCTTACGTGCTACGAGACCTTCTAGTAGCGCCTTAAGCATGTCCGTTTCCTCAGTTCTGTGTTATTCTTCTGCTTGCAGCATTGGTTTCAGCTGCTGATGCAACCTGGCCACGGTGAGACCAAGGCAGTCCCTGGAGCAGACGTGCATGCGAACTCTTGGGGGTCGTGGCTGGCGTTTTCTCGGCTGAAAGTCGAAATCGTCGGCTTTTCCTGCCGGCCCTGACGAGCTTGCTATGGAGATACAAAAGGTCCGACAGTATCCATCAAGAACCGCAACCCCTTCTAAAATAAGACACCGAAACTTTCTCATATACAAATATGAATGATGTTATGTCAACTAATACGTGTAAGGGAGTAATATGAAAATAAAATGAAAAGATGGACGAAGATGAATATTCTACTAATTACTGGATGATTACAGGGAACAACCGAAGTCGTAACTGTCAGCAAATCGGAGCAGACCTTCGGGGAAGCGAAAACGCTAGGTCGTAACATTCCGCCGCGGTGTAGTTGGTGATACGAGTTCCTTGCCAAAGTACAATTTTAGTACTGCAAATGCCTCGTTTAGGATCCTTGCTGGATTGTGCTTGGTTCTCATACAACTTTAGTACCGGAAATGCCTCGTTTGGGGTCTTGGCTGGATTGTGCTGGGTTGTAATGCAGGGTCCAGGCCCTAAGTCGCCCCAGGTATCCGAAAGGCGTCGTGTGCAGGGGTGTCACCTTGGTGAATACAGTAATCTTCATATGAATCGGATCTTGTCGTCTTAGTTACAACCGATGCGTCTAGTTGCGGAATAGGTTTGCATTCGGAACACTGGTTCCCTGGCTTTTCGAGCGTCTACATGCGGAATGGCTGACCGTGCTGTTCTGCCGATGACGGGTGCTTGCGAAAGCGAGTGTCTGTATAATGGGACCAATGTCTGTCCTGAGCGGATGCTGGCGAAAGCGAGCATCTACATGGGGAAAGGCTGCTCTTTGTGTTGCGAAGCCAATGATGTGTGTCTCCAGCGGCTGCCTATGGATTCTACGTGGGGGGTGGAGGGTGGTTTTATTTTGGGAGGGCCATGACATCTTACCGGAAGGTATCCTTCGTCTCAATCGGTTAAGCGACGACCGGGCACTATATCGTTCAACCTGATATAATACTGGAAACCGGAGAGGGGTGGGTGATGCAGCTCTCGTACTAGGAATGGGGGCTGGGGAAATTAACCGTCTATATGGGGAATGACTGGTTGTCGCACGCTGTGATACTAATGATACCAGTGGTCGGTTTGTCTTAGCTATGTACTTCCTTTTTTTTTTTTTTCTTTTTTCTTAAATATGCAAGTAAAGATAAAGAAAAAAAAAAATGAAGAAAAAAGAAAGGATAAAATCATTTAGTCAGAAAAGCGTGGGATGATATATAGCTAGTTTCTTCTCTAACGGCGTCTCTTCTTTTTCTTTTTTGTTTTATCTTATTGCAAGTTCCTTGAAAACTTTCGGAATGGTCAGGCTGAATGGAATTCGTGTTGGTCGATGTCCTGTTTGAATGTTATAAACGCTTCCAAACCATCGTGGTTTTTGTAAATATTTTGAAGGCTGGTTACAAAGTAACCAAGGTAAATACCATTAAAGGTACGATGTACAAAAGGGGAGAGGAGTTCCAAATCACGCTGGGTATGGTTCATTACAAAATCATGGGGTGTGTTGCCCATCAATTCCATGAGTCTTGTGGCGTTGTTGATGATACTCTTGCGATTGCCCCACGCAATGGTGGCCGTTAAAAATGCACTGATCTCAATATCCTCCTTTTGCGTGAATTTGTGTGG